AGCTCCATTCGAGTGTGGAGCTACTTCCCAGTCTGGGCTACCACGCTGGTGGGATCCCAGGGCTTTTGTTCATTTTGAATGGTTTGTCTCTTTTCTTTTCCTTTTCTTGAGTTGGGAGCCCTTTCTGGCCAGGCGGAGCTGCGTGGCAAGGAACTCCCCTTCAGCTTCCACAGACGTGCAGAGGGATCCCTGAGGACATTTCTTTCTTCGTTGGTTTTTTTTCTTTTTTCTGTTTTTTTGGGGGGCCGTTATTGTTCTTTTTTTTTTTTAATTTCTTTTGTTTTCTTTTCCCTCTTTTACCCCTTTTATCTGTCTTCATTGCTCAGTTTCTCATCTTTCTATATCTTCCTTCTCTTTCTGTTCCCTGAACACCAGGTGTTGTATACCTCTACGCCTTCTAGCCAGGCTGTACTGCAACAACTGAGAGCGACTTCCCCAGACCTCATAGCTGCATCGGTGGGATCCCTGGGAACTTTGCGGTTCTTTAACCTTTCTGATTTTTATTTATTCATTCTTTTCTTTTCTCCATCTTCCCCATTCTGTTTTTCTCCATTTCATAGTCGCTCAGCTCTCCAGTCCAATGCCAAGCCCCCTAGCATTCTTTTTTGTTTGTTTGTATGTTTTTGGCTCCTGTTCCTCTCTCCTCTCTCCCATATCCATCTTAGCTCCACACATAACAGTCTCCCCGCTGCACCCTGCCTACCTGCACCGTGTGCTTGACATCACACCACCAAGCAGCAGAGGCACAGCCTACTGGAACCTGCCCTGCACTGATTACCAACCCACCCTGATGGCTGTAGTAAGTGCCACAAACAACCCGTCCCAGTAACTCCTCTACAGCTAGACCTGCCCTGCTGTAACATATCTGACTGACTGACCCTGCCAGTTGGAGAAGGAGGCGAAAAGTATTAAGCACACAGATGAGCAAACAACAAAGAACACACAGTCTGCCTACTCAGACATAGTCAAATTTTTTTTTCAAAAAAGGGATGAAACAAACAAATCTACAATGAATAAACGAGAAAAATAACTACTGAATGCCCCCAAAACAGCAGACAATATCAAAACATTTACAAAAACAGGACAGGATGGTTCAAGTAGGCATCCAAAACAACACACTAGATGACTCTCCTGTGGAAGAAAATGCACTAGAACTACCTGATAGGGAATCAAATCTCTAATACTCGGAATTCTCCAAGAACTGAGGCAAAAACTGACAAACATGAGGAAAAAATAGACAAATTCATGGAAAATACAGACAAAAAATTGGAAGAATTCAGGAAAATAAT